TCTTAGCTCGTTCAACTAGTAAGATTATTCTCACTTAGCAAAAGCCAAAACTGTATCAAGAAAATAAGGCTCTGATATTTGTTTGGCTAAAGCGTAGGTGTGGCATTGTACTTTAAACGATTTTTTAGGGAAACGAAGAGACATAAATGTCTCTCCACCCTTATTTGGTATATCTGTTGATGTTATAAACATATATACATAGCTCCTTCGTATGTTGAATTATCCACGATTTGTAGGATTCGGTTTAGCAAGTCAAAATCTCCAAAAGAATTGGAATAATTTTGTTAGTACGCTTAGTAGGCGCATCCTATCTTCCACATATTTAAGATTGAAAGCCCTTAAAAATTCTGAAACCTTCTAAGGCGAATAGAACTCGACCTTAGTCCGGATTGTCTTGATATAGGATTCCAACAAGTTAAGCAAAATTAAATTTGATTGAAACAACATTGGAACTGGTGAAGAAGCGGCATTGGCTCTGATAACCATGGTATGACGATTACAAAACACCTACTTAGTCGAATTGTCGAATCAAAAGAGATACACAAGGACAGATGCAGCTTGAAACGCTGGTTTCGATCTATACTCCTTGCAAGAAGTATGAGAAATTCTCTGTATAGCGAATCTCCTGTCTAATTTTTATAAGAAATCAACTACAACCTGAGAAAACAACACAAGTCATTTTTGGAGAATATTTTGATGTATTAAATTTTTAGCTTGCGTTGCTTGGTTCGTAGTTGGAAATCTGAGCTTTCTCCGTTTTCTGCAAGTCATTTTTGACAGAAGTAATCATCCTCATCTTCTTCCAAACGTTTATCAGATGTGAAAGACAGTACTGTCAACGTTTTAAGCGGCATTTATCATTAAACATGTCTCTTAATAGCCGTTTCCCCTATGTATCCTTTACTTGTGAGTTTTCTTTGCGATTTTGCCTACATCCGAATATACGAAAAAATTCTAGCAGCTTTAAAAGATCAATTTACAGTGTACTTCTAACGCAGCTACACTAAAAGATGTTTAGTGTGACAGACTGATGCATGATTGATTGGATCGATTATTCTGATTGATCACTTCGATCACCGATATGTCACTTCCCTGCATTCTGCAAACCTAAGTTACGTGGTTCTCTACGTGAACTCAAATTATATAAAACACACTAAGGCACAGGAGGGAGGATGATGTAATCAGCGCCAATATCTAGGGCCCTATCAGTCTGGACGATGGTCAAATAAATTTTGAGAATTGCCAACATTCTAAATATTGAACTTATTGAAATTTCTCAGCAAAGGTGGATTCATCTATTGTCTTCTCCAAAATGCCCGTATTATAACAGACAAAGGCTGACATAAAGCATCGGTCTATGCAAAGGAGCTTCAAAAAGTACAGTAACAAAATAGTTACTTAATTAGAAAAAAAAATTAAAAATCGGATTACTCG